CTCAAAAATACTAGCAAAGTCAGCATAAATTATGCAAATGCCAAGAATCATCATGTTTGCATTGTTTGAGGGCCCATTGGGCCCCCGTGAAAGCCCAATGGGCTTCTACCTCGGCCTCGGCCTGTCGATGGGCCTGAGGACCGGGCCCAAAGCCAGGCCCATTTTTTGGTTGGGCCCAGGTGGGCTTTGGACTTCATGGGCCGGTGCGGAGGTCTACCTTCAACGACCATCAACGACCATCAACGTTCATCAACGCCCGGTCAACACATCCACGACGCACCAAAATACTGACCATTTTGTTCGCTCCACGCCCTGATGGCAGATACATTCTATTGCGGCGGGCAGTCTAGCCGACCGCAAACCATGAAGACAGGAGGGTTGGGAATATCGCTCTCGATAACGGAGGTTGAATCTTGAAGTTATGATTCTCAAACTAGTTTGCTTCTGTCTAGGGCTCATTTTCTCCAATGATGATTTTGAAATACAAAATACATCATCAAGATGGTGCGCAGGTCTTGGCTTCTTTGAGTACTCTTGATACACGAATACTGGTCCCTAGCACCACGAAGAGGTGCCTACACGGGCTAGAGGGGGCTTTTTGCCGCAGATGTCCCTGCGGAGACTCTTGGTGTCGCAGACGTCCTGCGAGGCGCTTTGTTGACGCAGGACCTAATCTGCGGAGAACTTGGTAATGCAGCGGTCTCCTGCAGAGAACTTGTTGACGCAGCGGTCTCCTGCGGGTCTCACTTGTCCTCACAGCGTCCCCCTGCGAGGATTGTTGTTGACGCAGACCTATCCTGCGAAGCACCTTTTTACACTAGCGGGGTTCAGGGCAACGAGGGAGCACACTTTTACACTCGCGGGGCTCGGGGCAGCGAGGGAGCACATGTCTTACATCGCGGGGCTCGGGGCAGCGACAGCCGTGGTCACGGAACCTCACAAGCCCGCAGGCAAAAGAAGGACACCATGATACATCGGAGTGTGAAGACCGATGTCCTGATTTTTTTGTGGGCTGGGAACCTGGCCCCTTTTATGATTTTTTGCCTATGTCTCTACTAAGGAACCAGTTGCGCAGATGGTAGCGAGGAAAATTATTCCGTTGGTAGGCACTGAAGCGATCGCAACGACGTTAAACTGATGTCTGGAGACTTTGTGGCCTACAGAGTCAAGTCTAGCCTTGACTCATTCCTGTCAAAATCGTTCGTTGAGCGTGGTGAGCCATTACCATCACCTGTTGAGCAGAACGTAACGCCGCCAAAACCTGATTCTCACATCATTGAAATTGCAATTAAATCGCTCAACGCGGTGGCACTCTCCATCTGCCCGTTCTAGCCACGTTCACCGCCTCTTTCATGAAGGTTGGTGTGCTTCAACGAGAGAGACGAGCAAGAGTTGTGTTGAGCAACAGCATGGTGAGTTGGTCAAGAAGCGTTGGCTGATAGTTGAATCCTTCACGGCCCTCTTAAATTGAGACACTGAGCGAGGCTCATATCTCTTGTTCTGATACCTCACCTGTGAGTGGCTCAACGTTGAATCATCGAAAAGCGCCTACAATTTCATCCCGAGAAGTATAGGTTTTTTTCCTTAACCTCACATTAGTATGGTCCTGGTTATGTAGAGCTATGGGTCTGGCCACACGTCAACACTCAATTTCCGAACTTGCGACCATGAAGACACGCCATCTTTTTAATTTTTTTTTCAACTTCTTTTTTTGGTGACTATGAATTCTACAGTATTCCATTTGTCGGATTTCCGAGGCGTTCAACGAAACGGAAAGAAGTGTCTGGTTGAAATATATCTCCTCAGCAAGCGTTGATCTCTGGCCCTCAACATCGTGAGGTTTGATCAGTTTCGCCGATGAACTTTTTGATTACTATTTTATGATCATGTTGACTGTCAACAGCCTGACGAAAACCAACACAATTCCAGTCAAAATCCGACTGCATCAATTAACAGTTGTGGTGATCGTAAAATCCACTTCATATTTGCCTGCGTCTGCGCAGTCTATAAAACACGAAGGATCGATGGAAATGATATTGCCCACACCCTTAACATTCTCTTGCGGACAGAATGGACCCCGAAAACAGCTCGACAGGGTAAGAGAATGAAGAATATCAGCAGCCCAGTGAATTGTCAATCTTTAGCGGGAAAGACAAGACACAGGAAAGTCCTGACCATATCTCATTAGTAAGCTCTGCTTGGTAGCAAATGTTAAAGGACACCCGTGCCTATTCTAAGTGAGGTAGATCTGTTGGTGTCCATGCCTTCGGTTCTACCGCTACCTGTAGCGATAATCTTGGCGTCATTGTTAGATGCACAATGAGATAGACGAGATATGGTCATTTTGAGAAAATGTAGAGTCTGTTAAGGACTGTTGGCCGACAATCAGGTCCTCAACTCTCTTCTAAATGGAGGCCTTGGGGTGTGCTGGGAGATATTAGGAATATCGAGGTCGCTTTTGATGCAAATTGCATGCGTTGAAGATCCATAGTCCGTTCCTTGCCATCAGCCATTATCACACTTGGTGTGTATGAGTTTGTGCTGCGGGCCGTTGGTTCTTGATATCTTGCTAGTGACTAGCCCCATTGTAAAATATAACTGTGTATGTTGTTGAAAGGCAAGGTTGTGTAATTATAGGAGCGAGGCAACATTGACGTTTAGGTACTATATTCAGCGAGATTTAATACCCATCACTAAACTTTCTCATTTGTTCTCTAGCACCAATAAATTTTCACTAACAGGCCAAGAAGGCCAATGCACTAAGAGTTCCAGTGATAGTCCAGAGAGGAACAGCCAAGGAGGCACCCATCCCAGGCTGTGTGCTCTTCACAGCCGCGGCAGTACCAGTGCCAGTACTCGTTGCTGTCGTCTCGCCGCTATTGGCCTTTCCGGTAAATTTCGCGTTGGCAGAAGTCACGGTGATAGGGTGTGGTACAGCTCTGGAAGATTGGCCAAAGGTCCACGTGAATGTGTTACCACTGACCGGGGTGGAGACCACACCACCCTTGTTAGATAGAGTCGCAGTGCCATTTGATGGCATACTGCTTGGCTCGTAAAAGTTGTGAACTGCACCGGCATAGGCACGACCATATCCCAAGTCGCCGGCACAATCATATGCCCCAAGGTAAGGACCGCACTCGCTCCAGTCACTAGGCACTAAAATACCATCGTACCACTCTTGTAAGCCAAGGATGCTAGGGTTCGTGCTAGGGCAGGTATCGTAAATACTATAGGCTAATTAGCAGAGAGGTAGACATACAGCTTCACAATTTCAACGTACGTAGAGACAATAGCACTCATTCCACAGCACATGCAAGCCGTCCCATACTCAGAGATATCCTTGTTCGTGGCAAGTCGGTTAAGGTTGGTCATGTTGTTGGCGCACTCTGTCATTTGAAGTGCAATGAAATGCTGCTTCTTGATTATCCTTCCAAGGTTGCAAGAACAGGCAGCGGGAGCGTCGTCGGGTGCGGGCCAGAATGGAACGGCATCATAATTGGGATTGGTGCAGAGATCGAAGAAGTCTGCGACGATGCGTTGATATTCGCAAGAGTAGACCTATAGAAACGTTAAATCTAATTGATTGGGATCCGACTCATATAATACTGACCTCGTTCCAACAGCTTGCACTAGCGCAGTCAATTTGATGTGCAGTTCTCTGGCATTCACAGGCATTGATACAATTAGTTCCCAGATTAGGGCATTGCTTACTCATGCAGGTAACACTTCCACCACATGAGTCGTAGCATGCTTGACTTCCACCAACGCAATTATTGTTTACACAATTTGTGTACTCAATTTCCGCATCCTTGTAGCAAGATGTGAAACCCTTAGGATCGGCACAAGCCGACGATTCAAAATAACCGACTTTCTCAGAGAGCGCGAGAGAACACAACGCCCCCAGAGCTAGAAACGAACGCAATTGGGATATCATCATGGCAAAAGATTGAAAGTGAAAATCAAAACTCCTCCGAGTCATCGCCAGGCACAAGCCCTACTTAAAGACCAGTTCCATGCGGGCTGTAGGGCCCCCTGAATTAGCGCGTACAACTGGAGCAACCCAAATGACATCGCGAGATACATATAGTGATGATCCTTTCTGATCCGCACTCGTTCGTATTTCTCGTGAAAAATAACCCCATGCGGACTCAAAATGCGAAGCTAAACAGGGGCAAACAGGAGCCAAGACCTGCGGGCCAATGGGGGTTGACTGGCTGCCCGTTCCAGCTTAATGGCGTTCCTTGGCGCCAGCGAAACATTGTTCGCGCCGCGGAGATCGGCCGGTGCCCTAAAAACTTTTGTGAACATAAATGATCACACAATCCGTAATATGTGCTTTATTCTCAGTTTTAGAACCGACCTAAAGTAAGCATTTTACTATATGTTACTTCTCAGCCTCCCTCGTCTGACCCTACTCGGTCTTTAGTCTTTCATGATTGATGCCGATGACCAACCACTTGCAAGACACATTTAAAACCCTACTTGGTCAGCTTATCCTTTTGACGCAAATTGTGTTAATTGCGCAAGCTCACCCGTACATCAACCACTCTATTTTGCCAAATTCTGCTAGAATTCGGGTGCACACGAGCTGCTTGAGCTATTGGAATCTCGGTGAATGGGATGCCACTATGAAGCAATTAAAGGTCGTGGTAAGTAAATTTATCCAAATTTTTGGGGGCCGTGAACACTGGGATGAGCTCAGAGGGGGAGTTACATTATTCTAATATCGATTATGAGGCAGGCCAACTACGGCCAGCAGGCTACTGAAATGACACCCGACTTGATCAACAACAACATGAACAACAACAATCCAACCCTGCATGCACAGCAAAGACGCATGATAGATCTCTTCATGGTTCTTTATGGATCTTTCAGGTGAGAGGACGTCGCTGCAAAGACGAGAGTAAGAGACCGCGCCGTACGAGTGAATCGTAGGTTACAAATACCCATTCAGCACACAATTCCAAAGCTTCCGATCTTACGAATTAAATCGTCTAGAAATGGCTGCTATTTTCGCGAATGGTCTGTTACAGAACACGGCCAACTGGAATTTCTTCTGCGACGAGAGCGAATGGGCCCTCGACCCTAATGTCCCTTCTACTGTTATACAAGGTGAGTATTATCCAAAAATTCCCTTTAATTCAAACTTTCATCATCACGAAACCTTATCTGACTCATGATATGTGTAGAATTTTGGATGATCAAGCACCTACCAGCTGGTCCTCGCAAGCAAAAAGTGTCCGCGTCTCTTTGCACGATCCCACTAGATTATAAGGCTGGATTCAGTGGTGGGCAAGCGGAAGCGGTCACATTAACAGCCACACACACTCAGGGTAATCCTAATTGGATTACATTTGTGCTGGGTTGTGGTCTCAGTTGAAATTTCAGACGAAAGTCTGGTATCAACCTACAAATAAAGAAGCAGTTGTGAAAAACGGTGATTTCCTTGATAATATGATCCATAACACACCAGAGCGACTCCTCGCGCATGGTTTACCCACGGGAAAAGTCAATTTGGTGCTTAATATGGAAGCAAGTACTTTACGATGCTACTTTCAACATATCGGTCTGCTAATGAATCGCTCTCCTCTAAACTTTTTTAGGGGATATAAAGTATGGCTGGGTAGACATCGTTCAGCTTGCTAAAGACGACAGCGCTCAGACTGATGCTACAAAGTCACAGACTGTCAGCAATGCTGGTACGATTTCTTTTTCTGAAATATTGACTGGTGAATCGTGCTGGTTATCTCCAGATACTTTCACATATTGGATCAATGGTTAGTTGCAGAAACCCCTATGGTTCCTCAAGACGACAGGCGGTAGATTAAACTAACCACCGACGGCTAGGTGCCCTCTGCGAACACCTGTCTAAAAAACCCGGTTTATTCTTCGATGAGATGGCTGTTTTCCTCTGGGATAGATTCCGCACCCAAGTCACAACTTCCAGCATCAAACGAGCCCTTGTTGCCAAAGATTGGTCTAGAAAGAGCACTTGGCAGCAAGCGAGGGAGCGAAATGCCCATTTGCGAGAATGGTATCTGCATGATTTATTGGATTTTCTGTCGTATCAGCTGGCTTACATAGACGAATCCGGATGTGATAAAAGGGTGGGGTTCAGGCGCACAGGTTGGTCACCACTTGGTGCGTCCCCTTTGCAAGTATCACACTTTCACTGCGACGAGCGATATCAGATACTGCCTGCGTATATCCAGGATGGGATCGTTTCCTCGCTTGTTTTCCGCAAGCCCACAGATGCCACCGTGCTGGAGGACTTCATAGCGCAGCTTCTTCAGCACTGCGGAAGATCGGAAGATGGCCCGAGCCTAAAACCGTTCTGATTATGGAACGCCTCGTTTCAACCTTAGAATGCTCAGCCTAAGTGTTTGCTTCTGCTTGGTTTACGTAACTTTTGGAAGCAACTTGATGGCTTCGGCATCGTAGCTAGTATTTACCAATTAGATACGACATTAGTCATAGTGACCAGCACCTCGGAAACCTCTTCGCCATTGAATGTAAGTATGGTTTGTTTATTGGCTCATTATATCCGGAGTTGCTGCAGACTACTTATCGTTATCTGAAAATTGATTCTTCTTTGATGTCGCTGTGCGCGGCAGAAGCGAATGTCTTAGAACGATCAATATTTGACCCGAAAACCCACTAGCTTAAGTGCGACTCGATCGGATCTACACCAAACTTTTTTTGTCTGGTTTGCCAAACGGTTTATCACGTGATACATGTCGATTGGTTCAGGTGGCGGTTTTCCGATTCGCAAAGCTCAACCACGGTCAAGCGCCGCCCCATCGCCGTTCTCCACACAGATTCAGTAAATTACCCCTTTCAACGCGTAAGGGGAAAAAGCCAACAGTCCTGCATCATGATCCTGCAACAGTTCTACTGCACGAGCTGCAAAATAAGCTTTAGAACTTTCTCCGCCAGGCTGCAACATATCTACGAATCTCCGAATCATAACATCTGCTACCGCTGTTCCCCACCACAAGATTTCGCGAAAATGGTTGAGCTTGATGAGCACCTTGGAACTGAACACAAATACTGCATTTCGTGCGAGATCCAATTTGAAACAGCTAACAAGCTGGCTCAACACGACATAGAGGAGCACAACATGTGTGTTACCTGTCGGCAGTTCTTCGACTCTCCTTCAAGTTTGTCTAGCGTTGGTATCTGATTACCCATTCTAATTCTCTTTCTAGCACATGACTACACACATCAAAAGCCATCGGCTACCGTGAAGGATTCGCCGAAAGAAGCATCATTTCAATCATCCCGTTCTTCAATAGCCAAGCCGACGTACCGAAAATGGCTTCTCGCATTGACCCCCTTTGCCCCAACTAAACTAAGCCACCAGTCAAGAAAAGTGACCAACCTTCAGTCGGGATCACCTCCATGGCATCTCTTACTGCGCGTTATAGAGAGCTTGAGCTCATTCCTAGAAGATTTCTCGATTAAAGCCATGCCCAGCCAATATAAGGGCAGGTGATTGTGACTCACGCATAAGCTCACATGTATGAGCCACGCCCCGGGAGGTAAAAACAAATATAATCCATGACTAGTGCAGACTTCGAGTAGTAGGAAGAGTAGATGCGATCTCAAGTTAGACGGTAGCTCATTGTACCAAGAACTCGATCACGCGTGTTCGGCAGTTATTAAGCACCGCACCACACTCAATGAGCCAGAGGCACTGAGGGTGAGATCATACAGCAAGTCGGGCCAAAAATCAATCACTGATGTGATGGAGAGCTTTGCCGAGAAGTTTTGCACATATTAATTTGTAGTTCGAGATTGATTATTTCTCATAAAAACTTTGTTCACCTCAGACTGAATTTCACCTGCTGATGACCCCGATCGCACAGTATTAATGATGTGATGAACGTCATCATCATCAGAGTCTTGAATTGCCCTGAAAAAGTCGGCCAAAAACCTCTGATAGTGGCCAAGTTCTTCTTCCATCTTGCTTGTGTAGCTCTTGCGTCGCTTGTCGGAGCTCATATCGAATATGCAAACAGAGCCACGCTTCGTGCATTCCAAACACGGATTATCAGAACTGCACTATCGTTCAAGACACCAACAAGTAAGCAACTGGGGTGCGCTGTTATTCGGGGTCCTTACTTTAGTCCGCCGACGCTGACATTCCTTGCAGGCTGCTGAGAGCCTTCGCGTTGAGTGATCTCGTACTACGTTTTCCCTTGATTGTTCACATGCCGAGGGATTGATAGCCAGCGTATGAGGCCGAATAGGCTTGAAATTTGACGCAGACATTTGTATCAAGTGTTGAATATGAAAGTAGACGTATCAGGGATTGTTAGGTCTGCGTAACATAGGTGGCGATAGCAATTTATAGCATGGCGCACATCACAAGCAGTGGGAATGGTGGAAAACGGCGGGAAAGTGGGGGGCGCGTTGAAAGGGGTAATTTACTGAATCTGTGTGGAGAATGTAAGGGCCCTTTGCTGACTCAACATGTAAGACCCGCCTGAGGGTCTTACATATGTAGCGGAAAACCTCTGCCGGTGGGTCCTGCTCAGGGTAGATCAGGCTCTTGCTCACTGAGCATGATCATGGTTTTTTTTGCCAAAAAGCCTGGGGGTGCTTGCGTATTGTACGTTGCACGTGATCTCGGTGACAGATGGATCGGTTGGCTCTCGATGGCCCATTGGTAGTTGCGGTCCCCACATGTGATTGGTGACTAGTATGTCCGTACACTTCAGTACGGAGTCAGCAGCCGTCTTGCTCCAATTGGCTGGATAATGTTAACGATCTTCAGGCTTCGCCCTGGATCGTAAAAATATTGTCCATTTATACAACTTTTGGGGCAAAGGCAAAACGGAAAGGTACTGAATACCCGCGTCGACCGCTTTTACCCTACTCTACTAAAAAAAACCTGATCTGAAATCCAACTAGCTACTGACTTGAGCCAAGTTTTTTCTTTGGCCCCTGCAGTTTAATACGCTACTGGCGCAAAGATCGACAAGGCTCGCTCCCCCGTCGTAGTTTCGGAGCCGAAAGCTGCGGCAGCTTTATCAAAAATCTTGGAAGTACCTCAATTTATAATGATTCTCGGTTAGATATGGTTGGATCGCTTGTAGTTTAATTCAACAGGCTTATTGTTCTTCTTCACTTAACTCCAATATCTGAAACCTCCAACGCTCGATTTCATTATCATCGACCCATTTCTCGTCATCTATCGACCATCATTCCAGAGGTGCTAATCTCTTCCTTCGTCCACGCCATGGGGCAGTTTGTCCGAAGTACGGTTCTGAGTGGCATTATGGAGACACCAGATAGGTGCATATACCTTGACACTAGCTCTCGCTTTTACACAGAGGTCACCTACTTACTTGGCCTGTAACTCAGATATATTAGGCACAAAATTGTCAAAATTAGTGTTTCTGGAATTGTGTGGTTTGTCTCCACCGTTCGTTTCCGTATACAAAAAGCATTGGCTGCGAATCACTGACAGCTTCCTTCTACATCATATCTTCGTGGGATCAAATAGGACAGCAATATAATGCAGTGAAAAAGATACTGGAGCCGTTCAGAACGCCAGCTACTACACAGTATATTTCCAGAGAAATTAAACTGCTGAAGCACCTGCAACATGAAAATGTGCGTTCAGTGAATAACAATTTTCCCGCAACCCAAGCTAATTGAGTAACAGGTCGTCCGTCCGCTTGACATATTTATATCTCTTACAGAAGATATGTATGAAAATTTAATGCAATTGTGAATTAAGTGCTATCTGTTGATTTGCCCAGATATCTAGTCACCGCCCTCATGCAGACCGATCTGCGAACGATTATGAATATGAAATTCATTGACCATGAGTTTGTTCAGTTCTTCTTATACCAAATCATGGTTCGTCTACCCCTCGTCCTTCATAGATAATTATTACTGATTATATGTCTAGAGAGGACTGAAATACGTTCATTCAGCGGGCGTGATACACCGCGATCTTAAACCTGAAAATATCCTAATCAATGAGAAGTGTGAACTCAAGATATGCGATTTCGGACTGAATCGAGTCCATGATCCTCAGATGACGGGTTACCTTTCAACTAAATACTACCGGGCCCCAGAGATCATGTTGACCTACCAGAGCTATGGTGAACAGGTCGATATCTGGAGCGCAGGATGCATCTTTGCGGAAATGCTACAAGGGAAGCCTGTTTTTGCAGGAAGTGACCATATGGATGAGCTCTGTGCCATTACACAGCTGCTTGGAACACCCGATGAGGAAATTCTAGCCAGGATAACCTCAAAGAGTGTCAGTTGATATACAAAATCACCAGCAGCATCAAACAATTGGTTAGCCAAGTGCTGACTGTTGAACCTGTGGCAGACCATGAACTTGCTTCAATCACTCCCTCAGCGTGAGGCTGCGGGTATCTCAAGTGTGTTCTCTGGTGGCGATCCAAAAGGTATGTTTCATGTCTGTGTCAGCGGACTGTTTTTTTACAAATTGCAGCACTCGATCTCCTCAAACAAATGCTCGTTTTCGACCCGTACGGCAGGATTTCTGCATCTGGCGCTCTTGCCGCTCCGTATCTTGCCTCCTATCATGACCCCGCAGATGAACCTGTTGCTAGAGAAACATTCGATGAGACATTCAACGGAGATCACCGTTTTGATGTCTCCTGGAAGCAGAAGCTGTATGTTCATACATACATTTGGCTATTATAATGCTGACTTTGTTTCAGGTACGCTGAGGTACTAGAATATCATAAACAATCAGAGGCTCGGGAGCGTGTCAGAAAATGGACTCAGAGCGTCTCGATAGCTCAGAACTGATCATTCAACATTGATACAACGGAAAACATGTTGTCATCGGAAATTCACTATGGCTTTGATGAAATAAAGTCTTTTTTAATGTGTGGGGCATCGGGATATATCCAATTGTCTGGAATGATTTTGGCGTTCTAGTTGGTTGGCTCGTTTTTCTTTCATTCATGACTCCAGAATGATGTTGCGTTTTTTATTATTATCTTATATAAGTAATCCTACAGCCATAGGCCCATGGTTTCTGGTTCCTGAGTTCCCAAACCATAAGTTAAAATCAAGAGCGGTACACCTGCCTTTCTATTTTAATGGATGCTTTATTGACCCCAGTTTGGCAATGAGCAAGTGTGGGGTAGACTGCAATTGGTAGTAATGTTTTCCATAGTTTCCACCAGATAACTCGGAAATACCGATCTTGGCGCGTAAAACAATGAGCTTGGAAGCTAATGTACCAGAGATATAGAAAGGATTCAGGCAATGGTTTTTTCCCCGAAAAAAGACGAAAAAAGGAGGGAATCTGCCTTTCGTGGAACGGAGATGGCTGAAAGGGACCCAGATATGATCTATGAGTGTTGAAAGATCGGTAGGTGGATTGTGCATTCGGTAGGACACACCAACCCTTGAAAGGGGTTGGTGCGTTTGGCACGGCTAGTGCGACTGTTAACTAATCAAAACTTAAATTTAAATTAACGTTGGACCTGCTTTAGCTAACAGTGAGAGCTCTCGGCTCACGGAGCGTCTATACAGCCAATTAGAAGAAGAGTAACTTTCCAGATTGGATCAGTTCTCCGGGAGAACTTCTCCCTGGTGAGCGTGCGATTAAGCTTTTCCGAGCTTGTTGAACTCTCGACTATTTTCACTATCAATGGGTGTTTGTTCCCGTCTTGTCAGAATCTATCGAGCACCACTCATAACCTGAGATCACAATACATACTTTCTAAATCTAGATACTCTCTGCCGCCTGCACCATGCCTTCTGTGACGATTTGTCGCCTCACACCGCTCCTGAAAAATATGGATCCGCGATGCACACAGCGAATTTCTGTGATGCCGTCAACCACAGGCTCTCTACCACAACCTGCACATGCCGTTCTTCCTTCTATGCACAGAAAGACGGATGCAAAGGAAAAAACTCAAGAAGAGCCGGCGCAACAAACACTACCACCTATTAACGAGGCTTTAGGTAACCACCACCTTTTTTCATATTCAGAAGGGCCGAGTTTCACTCCGTCCTTGAAGCCAGGGAAAGAGGTTCCGGCTCTCAGAGTCACAGACATGTTCTCCTTAGACCAAAGACCTTCATTTTATCATGAGCCCCAACTTCAGACACAAGAATCCCTCTCAACTCCTTCAAGAATCATGGAGGATCCGCAAAACTCGTCGCTACAATCGTTCAGCTCAAATAACGCAATTGTGCCGACAAGACGACCAGAGGAAGTATCGATCTCATGCACCCAGATTTTGTCGCGGAATGGATATCATCTCCCCCATTCGGCAAACAGTGTAGCTTCTTCCGATGATCCTTGCCATTTTCAAAGATTACCCTATGGATCTCTGTCCGTATCTAGGGTATTGTCAGGTCCTCCAGTATCTTCCGCACATCATGATACCTCTGTGGGCCAGGAAGTCCGCCCGAGCATGTCAGTGGCACAGCATGAAAAGTCGCCAGAGTCTTGCTCGTAGTACCTCGAAACAACGGAAAAGGGTAAGTCCATCTTTTCTATTTCCACAATGCCTAGCATCGTTCTTGTTCTTACCTTCAACCACTGTGAATTCAGAATTATTACCCTCGTTGTCACAGTTGCAACCGTGTTGAAACACCAGAATGGCGTCGTGGCCCGGATAGTGCCAGAACACTTTGTAACGCCTGTGGGTTGCATTATGCCATAATATCACCGGAGATGGCCGAAGGTGTAAGCCCGAAACAGAGGTCTAGACAGGAACTGTAGAAAAAATCACTGCCACACAAAGATTTGTATGGCTCATCTTAGGCACCACAATTCTGGATACGTCGCAGTGGATGGAGATGATCAGGACATTTTGACCGATGATCTCATTGCAAAACCGGCCTCAAACATTGACATGGCCACATCCGAGACACCGTCAACGGATATTGGCCATATGGCGACGAAGAAAAGTACAAGTTGGCCCAACGCACGCTACATACTTATCAATTTGTTATAAATTTCGTTATCATGTGACGCTGCAAGCTCCGACAGCAATGCTCTGGCATGCCAACAAGAGCCCAGTAACATATCTCAACAAAAGTCAAACATACTGCCTCACGGTGGCAGATTCTACTACATCGACAAAGAAGGTTCGACATTTCAAATATAGAACGTCCGTCCATGTCTCCTTCGAAGGAGAAGATCAGAGATCAAATCCGGTTGCATTTTGGCAGCTATGGAAAGAAAGCCGAGGCTCGAAAGAAGCCCATAAGCGCAAAGGCAAAATATTATCTGTCGAATATGTCGATCCTTCCCGGGAAGACCCTAGAGGCCAGGGACATGGGCAAATCCAGCTTGAAGATGTTTTCGTTAATGGGTTTTGTGTCACCTGGACAGCTGATTCAACCCCAAACGTTCATGAGGCTGCGATTTCGCTGAAGTTCAATTTCTTATCAACCGACTTCAGCCGCTCAAAAGGGGTGAAAGGGGTCCGGTCAGGCTATGTGCAAAAACGGAAATGTTACGGTCGGATGACCAAAGTAATGCGTTGGGGAATGAGTCAGAACTCTGCTATTGTGTGGTGAAGCTCTTTCGGAACCACGGTGCCGAACGGAAATCATTGAATGATAAGACACTTGTCAAGAAAAAGATTGATAAGCTCAACAAACAAATAATTCGCACAGAGACAGGTGCAGATGTGGCGTTCGATATTCGGCCTCAGAAGAAGCGCAAGTGGTCCATGAGTTCGCGCAAAAGTACCACATCGGATCAGGAACTTCACGCTGAGTTGGCTACCATTACTGAGATAATTTCATCGGTTCGTCTGGTAAGTGTACTTGGGCTTCGTGGTAACGTGAACGATGATCCGGATCTATATCCTATTCGTTTATCACATGAATCGAGCACTTCCATCAATGCTGGAGTCTTGGATAACCAATATAGCATACCTGCTACAACCTTGGTCTCTGAAGGAGCGACTCAATTGCCAAAAAAGGCCAACTCAAAGTTAGACTTCCAAAGCCCTAACTGTCAAGAACGTCCGCCCAAGATGGCAAAGGTATCCATCGGCTTTTCCCAGCTAGGCTCTCCACCCCATAAAAACCCACTTTCCAAGTCCGGTGAGTGTCGCAATAACGCAAACTTCGTTTTTCGTTTACTTACTTTGTCGCAGTTGCATGCTTTTACGTCCAGTTCACACAAAGCGGGAAGCAGCCCCAGGGTAACTATTATGCGATATACCTAGCGGATCGCACTTCTCTCAGCTTGAAAGTGAAACTTGTAGAGAAGCTGCAGATCGACCCAGGTTTAATCTCTCGTATCCTTTGGGCCAATAGTAAAGGCTTGAAGGTCCTGGTGGATGACAATGTGGTCCAACATCTTCCAGAGGCGCAGGATATGGTTGCAGATATCTGTGAACTCTCCTATACACAGGTACAAATGGCTCCATCGAGGGCAAAGTGCTCTGGGGTGGAAATAAAGCTTTTGTTTCAAGACCTAAGTATCCTATCTTCTAGCGTGCATTTTTTTGCAAAATCCTAGTGCAAACTTTGATGCCGTTATTCAGTTCAGCCATTCGCCTGCATCCCGTACAACTTTCTTTTGCAGCTTCAATAAACACACCATGTTTATATCACGTAATCGCATGTTGAGGACTCAGGGCGGCAAATTGAGGGTGGTGAACTGGGTGACCATTTGGTATGTTTGCTCATTTCACCTCCACAGTATTCACGCTCTCCATTTAAACACTTGGCTTACCTTGGCTTATTGATGGCCAGAGGTTGATCGCCATTATTCTCTGAACGTTTACAGCAATACAGTAGTCTCCACCAGCACATCAACACGGTTCTTCACGGTCGGACTCATACCTCGCTCATTCCGCAAGCTTACATGGACTTTCCAAAGATCCGGATGACCTTTTAAAATGAGCCCACAGGCTTTGATAGCTGTTGTAGTTCAGAGGCGTTGAGTGAATTATTATTTCAGAGGGAAAAATGAGGCTATATAAACATTGAGCAAAGTTGATTTCCAATCAACTTGGTTGTCCGTATAGACACCTTGGAGTTAATTCCGGCGGTGCAGCTTGGTTCCTGATTGACATAAGCTTCAACCGCGGTGGCAAGGATCTTTCCTAGCTTTTGCCAGGCTAACGGACATCCCCGAACTACACTTTTCATACTTCTGAAAGTAAATTTTACAACTTCGGTTTGATACCAAAAGGTTTTAGACAATTCCGAGTTGAACCAGTTTCTTTTTTATTCGAGAAATTCGCTCCAGTATCTTTTGGCGAAGGGACAATTGACGTAAGGATGACGGCGCGAATGAACTTGTTTTTGACGTCACCAACAAGTCGTAACAAGTATATATTCCAGACACATAATCTATGAACGTGTAAATTTGTTTCGACCGAAGAGTCTCGCAAAAAAGGCACACAATGTCCGCTCACGAAAATACCTTCAAGCCACCTCAGGCAAGCCAGAGCCAAAACAAGCCGGGGTATCTAGATTCTTCTTCATTTTCGCCTGTTTGTAAAATGCAAATTATACTGACAATGATAATTCCGAAGCTTGGAACAAAAGATGGCACCATCCAGCGAGGTCACAAAGCTAGATGGGAGCGATGGACCCATCGAATATATCGGTGCGAATAAGCTTAAAGATAAGAAAGTCCTTGTCACAGGCGGAGAGTATGTTCCATATGCCCGCACTAAGACTCCAATGTTTCATTTGTTCTGACATACGTTAGCTCGGGCATCGGCCGGTCAGTGGCAGTCTTGATGGCGAGAGAAGGCGCCGACATCACTATTGTTTACCTACCGCAAGAGCAACGCGACGCGGAAGACACGAAGAAAATGGTTGAAGCTGAAAACAAAAAGTGTCACCTCATTCCTGGAGATTTAAGGCATTATGGGTTTTGTCGTCAAGCAGTTGAGGAACACCTTCAGCAGTACGTGCTGTGCGTTCCTTTTTGCCGAGTAAAATGCTGACTTTTTTGCGAGACAGGCACGGAGCCCTCAATGTGCTTGTTAACAATGCTTCTAAGCAGTATTCGTGTGGCAACTTTGCTGAGATTGACCTCGCGAAAGTCGAGGATACGTTTCAATCGAACATTTTGCAGATGATTGCGATCACAAAATATGCCCTTCCGCACATGTCCAAGGGCGATTCGTATGAACTCTTGCTCTAAGATATATTCCGCAGTTCCCACTCGACTAACTCTTTCAAACTAGAATCATCAATAATACTTCTGTGGTGACATTTCGTGGCACCAGCGGCATGGTAGATTATGCCGCGACAAAGGGTGCCATTGTTGGGTTTACACGATCCCTGGCCAAGCAGCTCATGCCTAAGGGCATTCGCGTCAATGCGGTCGCGTAAGTGCCCTTCATAATCGATCCTTTCTGGCGCCACTCTGCTAACACGGAAAAGCCCTGGAGTGATCTATACTCCTATCCAAGCCGACACACGCGATGCAGAGTCAATGAAAGACTTGGGCGCAGGCAAAAGTTTAGGTCGCCCTGGTCAAGCGAGCGAAGTTGCCACCAGCTTCGTTTTCTTAGCCACCCCAGATTCTTCTTTCTACTGTAGGTTTTGCTTGTTTGAATTGGCACTGAGTCCACAACGAGGCTAACTAACCACTGCTTATAGATGGGCAAATTTTGCACTGCTATCCGCTAGGCGACTAGGTCTTTTAAATGGCTTCAGATATATCGAGATGACTTTGGTGGAACAATCATTATTCTTTCCAAACTCTGCCCTTGACAGACTCTCTTGCTTATTCTTGACTTTGGAGATCAATGCGTTGACCCTAAAAACGTCGGAAGCAATTTTAAGAACAGTGTGTTAACTGGGAACTCTAACATAGCCCCCAGGACCCTTCCCTGTTTCCGGGAAACTGAAGTCTACACCTGGGACCTTCAGTCCACGCTCCTGAATGAACACGAAATTGTATATTATTGTAATTTCACTTGAAAGATCTAGGAAATGATCTAGAGGGGGTGGGGAGATATGGCAACCTAGCTTGATCCTTATTCACGCCCACTCCCTTGCTTCTGTTTCCCCGTTACCTTCGTTATCCATCCGAGTTTGATTCAAGACTGCTCATCTCATCCAAATATCTGCCTTGCTTTCCGACCTCTGTTTGGTGCCCACGTAGAAGAAGAGGGTTCGCTATTGGTAGCAGTGTGAGCACTGCGGTCGAGCGTGATCGCAGAGGACATTCAACTCGCAACATACCTTGCCTTCTAATGAGTTACTCTGATTATTTTGGATAGGGGTTGATCCAAACGGTGTCACGATCAACTCTCGATCAATTAAGGCTAGGGAAGGGGCGACTGGCCTACTGGAATCAATTTGTTTTGATCAAACTTATAATAAACCCCCTCAACAAAGACTACTCAAGCAAGGCAACGAGCAGACGCCCAGAATCACCCGTAATCTCGCTTGGCAGCGAGAAACAAGATCCTTTCCAAATTTGTGTCGGTAAGCACGCTTGACCTGGTCCATATGGACACGGTTCCAAAAGCAAGCTCGTAGCAGAATGCCAACCGTTACGTCAATGATGTAATGCAAGCAAGCGACAAATCACCAGTCGCTGAAAACAAATGCAATGCGAGAGCGAGTCGATCATGCAGGTGGACTTCTAGTTCCGAGGAAAATATGACTATATCACTGATCATCGTCGGGAATCAAAACCTGTCTGGGGCACTGAAGACAGGAAATGTTGATAATTCCGGCCATCTCATTCGCGCGTCCAACTCCACGAAGGAGCTTAGCTGCGGTAGCTTTACCCTTGTTTTGGATCAGCGGTCAACCGAGGTGATGGTGTAGAAAGATTTTCTTAATGACTGGTTGACATGAACAACCGTGCTGCTCTGTGTTGACTGAAAGAGTCGGCAATTTGGATGTTCGGATGACGTCACATGACTGGACGTGATCGTCGTGATCGTCGGGTATAGGCTATCACAAGCGACCTTCCCTTTAAAATAGTGAAAACCATTCGATTTTGTCCACTATCAAAAGTACAACAAGACCATAAATTTAGCTATTGAACACGTGTAGGGCATGAGAACATGAACCTTTTATTCACAGCTAGATAATGTTACCTGCCGCCAAACTAAGGCATAGAAGGTGAAGTAGGCTGAGCAACCGGTTTTGCCGGTACCCATGTGAACATACTCTTTGCTTTGAGTCCTCGTCGTCGAGAATCATATCATCTCCACCACCCTCTATTGTAGAATCTAGACTCTCGCAATGGGCCGGGTTGAGCCTAAACTTCGAGCCCCGGCCCATTATAGTGGGGCCCCATCAAAGCCCATTTCGATGCTGACAAATCAACCTGTGTAATGGCTGTACTGTAACACGAACTTCTACTAGTCGTACAAAGTTCAAATTTGAAAGATAAATTTATGGTAGTAATACTAGTACATTTTTCAATTTTGATTTGGATCCGACCGGTAGAAGTCAAAATATCGCGAAAAGTCTTGATATTCATGTTTTGATCTTGGATATATATGTGAGGTTTATACGTGAGTACTACCACTTTCTAGTGAACCTCTGTAATTTTAAAAAATCCTAAATACACGCGTCTTTTCGCGACTTTAGACGTGATATAAAGAGTTAATAGGAAACTCATTCTAATATAACAAATTAATTAAAAATTACCTCAGTGATAAGGTAGAAAAACGGTGGTAAAACGGAAGGTGATTGATAAATCCGAAAAAGAGGGTTCAACTTTGCTTGGCACCTGAATTCTCGGCATGTTTGTACTGTTTGGGGCCCATTTGGGGCCCACCAACCCATCATCGTGACTAAGCACCCACCAGCGGTCGGTCCCCTCCTGTCAGTGAGCCAAAGCCATTTCACAAACCGAAGAGGGTAGTAAATTATGTTGAACCACTCTTTTTTTGGTCTTTTTCTTGTTGGTACTTGCTCGAGTACTAGTGTCTGAATCCTTCGGATCCGACAGATACTGTCCCTTTAGCAACATACCACAGTCCACAGAGCATGTATGGGATACACAAAAAAACATAGCAAGATTTGCTAGCAACCCAAAGATAGTGAATGTCATACAGAAATGATATATTGCTCCAGCGACTGCGCTGAGATCTGCTAATTCTCGAATCCCACCGTGCACCAAAATGAACCAAGTAGGCGGAAAAGGGTTCGATGATCACGAAAACATGCGACGACTATTCTCCAAAAGCTGCGCTAGAGCTTCCCATCTGTTGTATTGAGGAACTGGAGCGCAGAGAACGGGGAGGTCTTTGTCGACTGGCTGAGCAGAGCCCATGGAGCTATAATAGCGAGGCGTTCGAACAACAGTAGACTTGGGGCGTGTTTTCTTTCACCAATCAGCGGCAAATCATTATTCCTTATGTCAACATCGTCTTACCATGTCTTCCCTGGAGGGTGGAGGGGTATCTGGGTGAGAGTGATATGTGAAAATCTGACCATCAGGCGATTCCATGATGAGCCAGCTCTTCATCCCATATAGAAGCCAAAATTCATTGTGGCGCCGTAATAGATTGTTGCGGCGCTTAC